TTTCATTGACGTAGTGAAGCTTGAATTTCTTTGTGAGATTCGAAGGTCATAATCTGCTGTGCTCTTCTTACTTGTTAGGGTTCTTTCCAGATAGTGGTGATATGTCTAAGCAAGTCTTGTTTGACAAGTGCTTTGCTGAAATTCCTAAGCTGAGTGCGGTGCGTTTGTTAATTATATCAAGCTGCGTTATGTTGGTGAGGCAGAGACCTTGCTCCAAATCCAGACTAGATGTAGAATTGGGCATTGCTAACATATGTCTAATGTATTGCTAGTAAGCAACTGATAAAATTTGTATTTAACAACTTGAATCAGAACTAATTCCATGTATTTGTTCACAGATTTTTGCAGCCAGTGCAGAAAATTGATATGAATCTTACTGATCTTTTGGGTGAACTGCAGCGGGATCCTTGGCCTGTTCCACAGGGAAAACGGCCCTTGCGCTCTTCTGGAGTGGCGCTCTCTATAGCTGTAGGGCTCCTTGAGGTAATACCTTTAACTGCACTTGTGCTAATATGTAAGTAGATGATTTCATTCCAGAAAAGCTGCCACAATAAATACGTAAAAGCCTTAGTAATTGATGCATATTAGATGTATATGGTGATTCTGATGGATATAATTCCTTACATACGTAGAGTAATCATAGATGTTCACACATTTTAATGAGGCAAAATTGAGACGTTGAATTAACATTGGATTTAAGTTTTCAGAGGGAAAAGGTACAGTTATTGCTAGAATCCTATCAACATGATACATACCTCCATAGCTATTTCTTTTGTACGATTTGTAGCAAAACCTGATGGTTTTATTTGTCTTTTGTTTCACGCAGTGCACTTTTCCTAACACTGGTGCACGTATAATGATGTTCATTGGAGGACCAGCGACACAAGGACCTGGCATGGTTGTAGGGGATGAATTGAAGTTACCTATAAGATCATGGCATGACATTGAAAAAGACAATGCTAAATATGTTAAAAAGGGTACTAAGGTAAGAGATGATTATGGGTGATATTTTAGGCACCTTACCAGTAAGTAAACATTTGCATTGCCCGGCACTGTAAAATGTCAATAGTAGCAAATGTATAAAGAAGTCGTAATGGTGTGGGCTTGTTTACTTGTCTCTGAATAGTGATCTGCAGAAATTTCTTCAGAAATTTCACTGTATTGAGTTAGGACGTTGTCTAGCTTTACATTAAAGTTCTTTGGAGTGTTTTCCTTGGTTTAAGTCAATGGTTCATGTGACTAAATGATATGTATATGCTAAATGATACAGCTGGAGTAAGGCTCTCTGCTTCTAAACCAGCTGCTCAGAACTGCCTCTGTAGTTGAGGGAGGCTTAGACAGTAGAGTTTAGGCGTAGTTTGTTGCATCCTAAATACTTTTGGGCAGGTGAACTGCATCTAAAACATGTTTAATTTATCTTAACTGATAATAATGGGTAGTTTAAATGTTAGCTCAGTTGCAGGTCCTTGTTGTTGTACATGCTTGAGATTAGAAAATAAATTCAGTGTTGGATCTAGTACTTAATGCAAAGTTTAGAAAGAAAAGATCAAGATAATTTTCTGGTTTAAGTAGCAGCCACTGGTCTGTCTAATGTGAGTCAGGTTCTCAGCTGGTCAGGAAAAACCCCCCAGGTGCTGAAAATTCCAGTCTTAATTAGATTGACTTCAGGAAAAGATACTCTTTTAGCTTGTCTTAGACTGTGGTGTGAATAAAGTCTGATAATGTTGTTACAGAAAAATTTTGGGAGTTTAGGGTTTAATATGAAGATGAGGAGAGTTCACATCATAAACTGCTATGAACTGTGTTTTCATCTTGGATTTAGCATTTTGAAGCCCTGGCTAATCGGGCTGCAGCAAATGGTCATGTTGTTGACATATATGCATGTGCACTGGATCAGACTGGTCTTCTGGAGATGAAGTGTTGTCCCAACTACACGGGGTATGTGCCTGTTCATTTTTAAGTGGTGTATGAAGGTGCAGGGTGGGTTTTTTTCTTTCTTTTTTTTGTTTTCGTTTCTTAAAGTTGTTTAACAGGAAGCACTTACCAAAACCATTCTGGTACTTAAAAAAAACCCAAAACCACCCAACAACCCCCTTCCCCACAAAGCTGCTCTGATAAACTGTGATGGTTGCATTTGTACCAGAATTTTGGAATTTCTTAGCCTCTGGCAAATTTGTCACCATAATTGTAGGGTTAATTAGGGATTTGCTGTTTTTTATTCTTTTAATGATCAGTTTGTCTTAAATAACTTGGCTATCTCTTAAGTAGGTGATTTATCCTGTGTACTGTTGCTACTTTCTTCTTCAGTGCGTGTCTATGTAAGCTACTGGTTTCAGTAAAGATAAGGACCTGTCATCCTTCTTTTCCTTGCTCTTTGGAGTGGTACAAAGCCTTGTGTTATTCCTTCTGTCATGTTTATGCCCTATATCCTGTTGTACATAGGTTCAGCTGTCTTAGGTGATTGTTGGGTACGTCTGTTGCTCCTGATTTTTGCTCCCTCTGTCCACTTCTGCATTTCAGACATGGTCTTGCATTCCCTCCGGCTTCTCTTGCCGTCAGTTCATTTTAGCAGGATCAAAGCAAGTTCTAGTCTTTCTCATGAAACCACTCCCCTCTTTTCTGTCACTGTGGATGTCACCCTCACCTTTCCTCTCTTGGAGACCTACGGTGTGACATGACTTTTGACTCTTGCTTGTGTGTTAAGTACCAGTTTAATTTTTTAAGTCTTGCCAATTCTTCCTCTGTATTTTTTCAAAGACAGACTTTTCTCTTTCTTTCTCTTTCTGAAAGTCTTTTCTACACTCGTAGTATTTCATCTAGTATAGCCACCTGCTTTACATACTGCTTGGATTTTAGATTAGACTTCTGTATTCAGTCTGGGTTCTTTTGCCAAGCTCATTTTTCTTACTGCTTCTTGTTAGCTCTGTCAATACCAGCTGCAGGTAAAATTAAATGAAGCATCTTTGCCCATCAGTTTAGTGACTTGTATGTCTGTGGATAAGGGCTGCCTTAGTTGCCTGTCGGTGTATTTATATGACAGAGATCCTTAGCACACGCTATGTATCTTGGCAAACCAAGAAGAATGAGAGATGGGGCCGCAGGCTGTGGTGAACGTACGCTGCTGATTTTCAGGCCAACTTGGCCATGCTAGACACTGCTGGGTTGCTTCTTTTCAGCGAGGTGTTTGTATAGCCTTAGCATGGGAGTCTCCACTGCTTGGGATCTTTAAGTTCATTACTTTACCTGCACATTTGATTCCCATTCCTGTTCTGCATCAAACTCAAACTGTCTTTTCCTATATAACTACAGTGTAATTTTGCTCTTTCTCTCTGCTCTTGTGACTCATCTTACCCTGTTTTCTTCCAGCAGAACCAGCCTTAATGTATAGTTTGTCCATTTCTCTTACAGCTGTTTTCATTTTCTGTTTGGTTACATTTTACATACAAGGAGGGATTTCTGATTCTGCCCATCTCTGTTGTCTTCTGTCTTTGAGCGTCCACCTGAAAAGTTCTGTAACTTCTTTCAGGTGTAATGTTTGACCTATTAACATGTTTTACTAATGTGATATAATTAATGTTTTTTGGATGAATAATAATAATACTGCTATTTCCTAAATGCAGTAAATTATATTTCATGTTGAGTGGCAACTGTTGCAGTTACATCTACAGAACATTGCTAAGCATAAAACCAAATCATTCTTCTTGAGCCTAGATTTGAAAGCACAAGCCTGAAATAACGAGTGAACTACTCAAAATTAAATGGCATGGTGATAGGTTTTGAATATTGAATATTAGAAGTGGTTAACTGACTTTGCTTGACAAGGTTGCGAGACATTTGTAGTGTTGAAGTCCCCTATAGTATTTTCCCAGTGAAAGATTTTGTTGCAGTCACAGTGACCGTAAGATGCTGTTTGGGCAAGAAGCTCATTTGCAAAATTCATCCCTAACCTTGTAGCAAAATATTAATTTAATGGTACTACATTTTAAGAAGGCAAAAATGTGCCTCACCATGAACTGTCATTAGCTTTAGCCTTTAACAAAAATAGTATAAATCCTATGTGCTAAATTATTGTGTAATAACTTCAGGGGTTGGTTTGTTCCTCTTGTTTTCTAGAGGCTACATGGTAATGGGAGACTCTTTCAATACATCTTTATTCAAACAGACCTTTCAGAGAGTGTTCACAAAAGATATGCAAGGACAGTTTAAAATGGGATTTGGTGGCACATTAGAAATAAAGGTAAGAATGAAAAAATGCAGTGTGTTAGTGAAATCCTGGAATAGGATGGCCAAGAACTGTAGAGTCTCTGCCCTTTAGGGAGATTTTAGGAATATGCCAAACAGATGTGTCAGGGTTGGCTTGGACATAGCTGTTACTGCCTAGCTGTCTTTTTACAGTTCTGTGATTCTGTAAATGTGAGTTAAGTATTATGATAATTCCTTCTTACCCTGCATTTGGTGGCAGCTAAAAGGGAGACTATAACCTTTCCTAAAAGTATCAAGATCCTGATTTGCATTAAGGTTTTCATTAACTAATGATAAAATGAGTTGTTTTTAATGTGTCATATTAATGTCTGTTTTTCTTCTAAATATGAAGACTTCAAGAGAAGTGAAGATTTCTGGAGCGATTGGACCCTGTGTCTCTCTCAACGCCAAAGGACCGTGTGTCTCAGAAAATGTAAGTTAACTTTGCCGAAAAGGGAGGTAATATCCTACTGTGGAAAAAGAGGATTTAGGGTTTCTGGATTTGAAGAGAGGCTGAAACTTTTCCATAAACGGAACAAAGGGTGTTTACTTTTTTACCAGTATTAATTTAAATACACACAAGGGCTGTTTTTTAGGAAACTTCCTGTTCGTTGCTAGATTAGATTCAAGCTGTATTAGACCTTGCAGACCTCTTGTGCCTTGGTTAAGTTTGTCCACTGAGCGGTTGCTTTAAAATTACTGCAGAAAAGTTATATGCTGGCAAAGCAGAAACCAAGTAGAAAGTGAGTCGGCATGCTTTATGGTTAAAATTGGAGTTATGCGCTTTGATCCAAACAGAACCACGAAAATACTTTGTTTAGAAAAACTGAGAGAACAGGACACAAGACAATGGAAACATCCCCTTTATCTTGACTCCATCTTCCCGTTGGTGTAGCTGTTTCCCCAGGTGCACATTTAATTGATTGATTAGAATATCCAACCCTTACAGGGTCCTGAAGTAACTTCAGATTTACATCAGTTTTAAATATTAATTTATTTTCTCATCAAATAATATTACTACAGTTTAATTTTGCATTTGATTATTAATCAAAATTAATTCCCACAAGTAACCAAAATGTCTTCCATTTGAAAAGTCTCACTCTTGTTCCTAACAATCTGCATAATAGAGCACTTTCCAGTATGAGGGTGCTTACAAATGGCCTCCTGTAATCAAGCATTTTTCATGCCTAAGTTTTCCTTGTATTTATGATTGCATCGTGAACTGAAAATTCTCAGTATAATCAGCTTTTTCTTTTTCTTTTTGTGATATGGTACAGATTTTCTTATTTTGTCACCCGAGTGATTGCATATATTACAATAAAAGTTAACACCCTCCAAACAATTAAATGTACATCTCCTTATTTAAGCTGCGTATTTAAATCATAAGAGACAATAGAAAATTTAATTGGGAATTCATGTCTGTTGTCTTGCAATTATATAATTATCAATTTCTATGCTAAACCTTTTTTTTTTTTTTTAAAATTATCTGAATTAAAATTTGTGAGATAAAACACAGATGAATTAAATGCAGATGCAGCTTGTTGCAAGTGGTAACTGAACAGTTAATGTAGCCCTAGTGCTTTTAACGGTGAACACAAGCACGGTGACAATACTGCCAGTATGATTCTCCTTGAATGTTTTGTTTGGTTTCACTGGGTCCATAATGACTGACTGATTATTTTAATTGGTTTCTCTGGGTATTTATGTTGTTTGGATGACAAAAAGGAACTGTCATGTGAAATACATCACTACCCGCACAGAGTTACCTTGTCAGTAACTTGAGCCTGTGTATCTACACAGTACATACTGTGTGAGCCATCTACTTGGAGTTTTACTGAAGTGCCTTAGAGTCATTCCACTCACATGTGCTTCTCACCTCTTCTCTTGAGGCTGTTTAAGCCAAGTCTGGTACTTTTTCCTATTTCTGACTTGCTTTTCCATTTTTTTAATGCTGTCTCCTTATCTTTCTAATGCTTTATTCTCTTGCAACCATCTCCTTTTTTATTATTCCCGCATCCCACACTGCAGTTGCTTTGTGAGAGTGTTTGAGAAGCTGGCAGAGTGAGCAGGGAGAAAACCTGTGACAGAGTAGTTGTAAACCATTACCTGTCGTGTCCAGATGTTGTACCTTATGAAGGAAGGTAATACTTCTGCTTTGGAAAAATCTTTCTACAGGAAATTGGAACAGGAGGTACTTGTCAGTGGAAGATTTGTGGACTTAATCCTACTACAACACTTGCACTGTACTTTGAGGTGGTAAACCAGGTAATAAATGTCTGTTTGTCTGCTGAACGCAGTAATTTTCTTTTATGTGACTGCTGAAGCCAATATTTCTGCGTGGTTCCCTCAAGCACAGTAGCAGGGATGCAAACAGCGTTGCCATTTTGTGTGGTCAAAGTTTAGAGGTGGATTATTAACAGCTTAATGATGAGCCAGTCTTCTTGAATATGATCATGAGAATCAAAGAGCTCTAGAAATTTTGGATAAAGTTCATAATAATTTGGATAGAGTCCAATTTTTCTTTTCGGTGTTGCAACTGAAATACATTTTAATAAGTAATATATGAAAATAGTATAATCTGTGTATTTAAAAGTGCTTTTTAGTATTTCTCTGATGTTTTAGTTACAAGCTAATGACTCCATGATAATACATTTCAATTTATGCTTTAATTGCTCAGTGTGTGCAAGTAAAGATCGGGTTCGTTGAAATGCCTCAGGGCTTATAGCCTGGTTTCCTGTCTCCCTGAGGGGGTACTAGGAGGGAGGATAAAAACATGACAAGCAAATGTGCTGTTTTCTTCTAGTATGTTCCCTTCTTCCACATATCTCAAGCTCAGAAGCTGTGAGTTGACTGTGGTTTCGGTATATTTAGTATGCTCTGTTGCATGCTTTATAAACTGTGCAAAGGTTTGAAAATGTGAACTTTTCATTTTACCTTTTGAATATTTATTTTGGTCTCATTTCTAGCTCTGAAACTGGTCTGGTCAGGTGTGTAGCAGTTGATTTCAACTGTCCTTCCCTTTTGGAATTACTTTGTTAGCAGCGTATAAATCTGTATTTCTACTGGCCAGAGTTTGGAAATTTCAGTTTACACCTGGATCCCAATCTTTACGTTTCAATGGCACTTTCTGGGATTCATTAATCAATTTTAGAGTAGTAGTGGTTTTGTTGCCCTGTAATTCCAGCAAGTCCTGTGATGTTCAAATAGCATCTACTGAAATCAGCAATTTTAACACAGCCCCTTGGAAAGTGGTGTCTCTGTAAGGGTATGTGGAAGGAGAGAGCATTGGTTGCTTTAAGGGTATCTGGTGGAGGCAGCAACTGCTCCTAACATCCCTTAACAGTCTCCAGGTTTATTAGCCATGTTTAGTAAAGGTACTCAACATAATAAAAGCACCAGAGAATAAGCAGCTCAGGTTATATAAATGCACTGCTAAGAATTTTATCATTTTCTAGCAATTTGTTTATACATTTTTTGAATTATACTATAAAATCTTGAGATTCATCTCCATTTGTTTCCCTTCTGTACTTAGCACAATGCTCCCATTCCTCAAGGAGGACGTGGTGCCATCCAGTTTGTGACTCAGTACCAGCATTCCAGTGGACAGAGACGTATCAGAGTGACCACAGTTGCCAGAAAGTATGTTTTACTTGTGATGAATCATTTTTGAAGAAGCAGGATATATATTTGCCTTTTAATCTTTAGATTTTGTAACCAGTCTGTTGCTGTGGGAGATTCAGTGCCGCAGGTGGTGAAGGCTGTGGTCATACCTCTGAGCAGTTCTGTGGGCTGTTCCTTCTCTCAGAGGTTGCAGTGGCTGTATAATGATGTTATGGGAGTGCTCTGAAGTAACCCAAGTGATTTTGGATGAGGAGGAAGCTTTGAGTGAAATGCTATAGCTCAAACAGAGGAGAAGAGATGGTCAGATTTAGGGAATGGCAAAGATCACTTCATTGCTTCACTTCAGAGTGTAAGCCCCTGTTTAGGGGGGTGTAAATACCTCTTCTTCCTTGTATAACCTTTACCTGCAGCTTCTTTGATTCAATTTACTTCACAATTTTAGAAAATGTTTAATATTATGCAGGCGTTTTTCAGTGTCCAATGACATTTCCTTTAAGATGAAGGAGTTTATTAATTTGATGGAAGATTCAGCTTATCTAAAAAGGCATTATCCTTACTGCTGATGTAAATATCTTGTTAACTTACATTAGTAATATTAGTAAAATCTTTTTGATGACTGATGAAAGGACAGATTAGTAGCTCACCTTGCAAATTGAACAGAACAAGTAAGGTGCACAAGAAAACTCTTAGTGTGGGAATGTGCAATTTGCTTTATGGACAGTGTTTTCTGTAACTTAACTTTCATAATTTTTTTAAAATATAATAACTTTTTTATAAGTTGCCTTATATTTTACTTCACTGCTTGCATGGCACCTGTACAAATAAGGGACATTTCTAATGAAAGAATGGTTAACTGAGAGGCTGCTCATTTACACCCAGTAGATTTTTGAAGCTGCAGCATGAGTTTGTGAAACTGCTAACACTGCTTTCTTTGCCTTCATTTTGAAGTTGGACATCTTTCACCGTGGTGCAAACACCTGTATTTCTCTCTTGCAGCTGGGCAGATGCGCAGACGCAGATCCAGAACATTGCTGCATCTTTTGACCAGGAAGCTGCTGCGATTCTCATGGCGAGATTGGCAGTGTACAGGGCAGAGACAGAGGAGGGGCCTGATGTGCTTCGGTGGCTGGACAGGCAGCTTATACGGCTGGTAGAAAGGACTACATTAAAAGAGATTGGTTTCTTGTCTCCAGGCATATCAGTCTTAAATGATTAGTGCTCAGTGATTGTTCCTTTAAAAATAAAACCAAAAAATGAATTTAATGCTTCATTTCCATAAATGAGTCTGCAGAATTAACTAAGATTTTCTACCTTAAATGGAAAAAAGTGCAGATATGTTTTTAGTTCGTTTGTTAATGTTTCCTCAGTCCTCAGAGGTTGGTAATTGCCAGCAATCGAGAGAAGTTCTAGCATGAGATTAGCAGAAATTGGAGCTTTCTCCGCTTTCTGCTGCGTGTAATGATATTGTAGATGGAATATTTTTAGAAGAAAAAAAGTCAAAGTATCTGGAACACCATATGGAATGTCTTTATTTTCAAAAGTTCAGTTATCTGCGTTTTGGTTTTTTCTTTCCTTACTCGTCAGTAAGTTATTAAAATGGAGTTTTAATTTTATACATGTCCTCCAGGGCTGTTTAATCATCTAACTCTGCTTAGTCATTTTAGAGGAAAAAAGTAAAAAAGCCATTAAAGCCTCATACCCGAGGAAATCACTTCTTGTTAAGAAAGTAACTTAAGTCAGTGTTTTTGCTAGGTTTCTGTTTGCTTACAAAGCTGTAAGCACCTCAGATAATGTGTCTATTAAAACCAAACAAACATATCATTGTAGCATGACCAAACAAGTATGCTTCTTAATGTAGATACTTTTTTTCTTTTATTCCAGTGTCAGAAATTTGGAGAATATCACAAGGATGATCCAGGCTCTTTCAGGTTTTCAGAAACCTTTTCACTTTACCCACAGGTGAGTAGAAGTGTCTGTATGGGGCAAAGAGGGAATGCTTAGTGAAGGAAGAGGCACTGTAGCACAAAGCAAAATAAGTCATTACACTGGGTTTCAGCATGAAAGGACCCCCTGGGCCAGCTACTGTCTGGTGTGTGACATTGGGCAAATAGCTTCTGTTGTCTGTGCTGCTGTGTCCCCTTGTGCCCTCTGTCTTACAGCTAAACTTCTCTAACTGTGTGTATTTTTCGTTTCTCCTGTAATGGAATTGTCATCTTACCCACGTTTAATTCAGATAATGAGACTTTTTTTTTTTTTTAAGGGCAGTTTTAATGAAGAAATTAAGAAAACATGAGAAAACATATGGTTTTGCTTTGTTGTTTCTTTTCTATATGATTTATAGTAATGACCTGAAAAGAAACACTTCACTGGTGAACTTGAGCTTGACTGTATTAAACTTTGAATAGTTTTTTTGCTCATAATCCATTCTGATAAATTCCTGCGTTCTCATAGCTCCTGATACGTTGCTTTTGGATTTTTCATAGACTTAGATAATATTTCTGTTCTGAGTTACCTACCAATGTGTCTCAAGGTGTTAAGTGTTGTGGAGAAGTTGATTCAGCAATGAAAGGATTTGCTTTTTCTATTTACTAGTGAAGTTAACTTTGCTGTGGTTAATGTTTCTTTTTCTGTTCACATGCTATAACTTACCATGTGTGTTCAAGCACAGCAGCCTCCCTCATGGGAACAGTCAAACTTACAGTAAAGGAAGGGGTTGACAATACTCAGTCGTACTATTTGTCAGTACTGGAGAAGAAGAAATATTAAACTTTTCTCCTAATTCAAAGCTGCTTTGTAGTTTTATCCTTTCTGATCTTTCTGTCTTACTCTCATGAGAGTATATAAAAACTGGCAAAGGTGCACATACAAGTTAGAAATGTTGAAGGACTTGAAATTCAATTTTGTTGTGGCATTGGTCTTGGAGTTTATGAAAAACATTTCTCTCCTTGCACAGCTTTCATTTATGTCTCTGAAAGTTCAAGCAAATGGTTTTTGTTTTGCAGTTTATGTTCCACTTGAGAAGATCTCCTTTCTTACAAGTTTTTAATAACAGTCCAGATGAGAGCTCGTACTACCGCCATCATTTCATGCGTCAAGATCTGACCCAGTCGCTTATCATGGTTCAACCGATTCTCTATGCCTACTCTTTCAATGGACCTCCAGAGGTATCATTATATATCACATAATGGTAGATTATAAGGTGCTGTTTTAAGAGAGATGTGATTGTTGTAATCATGGTTGCACGTTACAAAATACGTTGTTTTAAAATTTACTGCATGAGAGAGAATATTCGTTTAATGTAGAACATACTATGAGCAAGACATGGCTCAGAATCCTGATGTAGCACGGTCTGGAGAACAAAAGTCAGTCTGTGAAGAGATGATGTTTTAAACTAAGGAATGGTAGGGTTTTTGCTCTTTTTTGAGAGCTATGGGAGTTTTGCTTTTGCTTTTGTGGTGCCAGATGTAAATGTCAATAAAAATGGGTTTATTTCAAGAAGTCCTTTTTCTGTAGTTTGTAAGGAAAGTTGGGTTTTTTTTAAAGGTACAAAATTCCCTCTGTCTTAACGTGCTCATCCAAAGCTTCTAATTTTGAGGTGGTTACCATTACGTATCAATTTGGTACAGAACCTTCCAGCTGACCTCATCATGGCACGTTCTGTATAAACCTGAAATAAAAAAACGATCTTTCAAGAAGCTTGTGAAAGAAGTGTAAGATAGGAGACACCGCCAGTAGTGTGACAGATAAGGGAGAGTGATGCAATGGTGAGACTGAGAATAAACACAGGAGGCAGGGAACTTGGCAGGTTGGAATTCTAACCCTTGTTAGGATTTTTTTTTTTTTAATACTGTTTGGTTGGGTGGGGTTCGGTTGCCTGCGTGTGTAAGAGAGACAGAACCTGGTTCCGAAGCGATTGTGGAGGTCTTCTAACCGTGGTTCCAGTCTCCCGCGAGGGACTTGGCCAGTGAAGGACTGAAGTGATTCCTGTAGGATTCGTGGGTGGGTGATAGGTCCTAAACCCCCTGCAAGACACTCTTACCGGTAACCAAGGGCTATAGGAATTGCCACAGTAAAATTTAAGATTGTCATGGGGCTTAAAAAAGGGATGTTAAAAGTGGAGTTTAAAGTAATGAGGTCGTTTGTGAAGAGCTACTCACACGTGTAAGATCATTCTCCCATGCATGAGTAGCAATTGGTCACGTGGGTGATGCAAAGGAGAAGCCGTTTAGAATGAGTAATAATACTTTTTTATTCTTGGAATAGTTAATATTTTTGGTATCCCTAGTAAGATTGATCCAATTAAATCATATCGTACTGATTCAGTTAAATCATATACTGCCAGTTTATTGTCACTGCCCTTAAAAAGGTGAGTTAAAACCTTGAATATTAAATTGGATTTCATAAATCATGAGCATTCACTATATACAGTATTGGTGTGTATATATGCACAGTAATAATAGCTGCAAGGACAAGACACAAAAAAAATCCCAAACCCAAACAACCCACAATGCCTGAATCTTATACTTGAATAACTACTGGATCTTTTTGCAGTGAACTATTGTTCAGGTTAATGGCATTGTACAGGTAAATAGGAAGGTACTTGAAAGACTAGAAAAGTGCGTAATAATCGGAGGTTTCAGCTCCTGAATACAGTTTTTATTACTTTCATGAAGTTACATATTCAGAGTCAGGCTGGATAACTTTAGAATGAGATTGCGTGGGTTGCAGATGTATAACACGAAAACGAGCAAATACGGAGCTTTAGTAAGTGATTGAAAAAGTTCCTGGTGTTCAGTGACTGATGCAAAGAGCTGGTAATGCCTCTGATTGCTCAATTCTGCGTCGGTTCGTAACTTTTTATTTTTAAATCTTAGCCTGTTCTTCTGGATAGCAGCAGCATTTTACCAGATCGCATTCTCCTTATGGACACCTTTTTCCAGATCCTTATTTATCATGGAGAGGTAAGATTTGTCATTTCTTACATAAACATTCTTTTACTGTAGGAGTGCTACATTAGGAAAATGTTCTCTGAATTTTTGGGATGCTGTCAGGAAGCAGCAGGGGTGGGCTGCTCCCTGCGGGAAGGGGAATGTTGGGCTGAGGCAAGGCTGCAAGGCAGGCAGAGGCCTCACCAGTGGGGACCTGGCACATTCTCCTCTGAAAAGCCCAGTTTATCCTCTAGGAAAGATTGGTGAATAATTCTAAAATTCTGTCTTCCCCTTACCCCCAGACCATAGCTCAGTGGCGTAAATCAGGTTACCAAGATATGCCAGAATATGAAAACTTCCATCACTTGCTACAAGCTCCAATAGATGATGCCCAAGAAATTCTCCATTCCAGATTTCCAATGCCCAGATACATTGATACAGAGCACGGAGGAAGCCAGGTATGATAAAATAGATGATCTAGGAAGTGATGTGTTAATGATGTCATGGGGCTTTTTGGGTAGTAAACGTGCATTTCTGTGCTAAAATACATATAAATTGCAAGTGAAAAATTTGAATTTTAAAGCTTTTACGGAGTCAGATATTTAATAGAAGCTTTCTACCAAGTTTGTGAATCCTGTCACTCTCCCATACTGACTTGGACTCTCAGATTCCTTGTATGAGGTGTATAAGGTTAAAAAAAGATAGTACTTGTCGGGGTCTCTGGACCAATACCAAAAGTATTCTTTGTGTTCTTTCTTTAAACTTGTGAATATCAACAAAATATTAATTAATATTTGCTTTGCTAGTGCTTAGAAAAAGACAAAAGCTTGCTTTTCTACTGCACTGAAAAGTTGTTAGCAGTTCTGCCTTACAGCTATTGAATCTAGGGAGTGCCTTTATTTATAGAGGTGCTGCTTGCTCTCCTGAATAGGAATCTCTGCATGGTTTTTTGTCTCCAAATAGTAGAAGTGGTATAGTTCATGCACACATAGCTTTTTCTGAGTACAAGAAACTTCTGTTTGAGAAGATTAATTCATTGCCTGTGTTTTTGTTTTTTTAAAGGCTCGTTTCCTGCTTTCAAAAGTAAATCCCTCTCAGACTCATAACAACATGTATGCGTGGGGACAGGTAAGAAAGAATCTGCTGATAAAGCTTGTGTGCGTGACTTTGTGTTCTTTTCCCAGTTTCAGAAGTGACACACTGTAACAATGCCAGGTTTTGAAACTGGAAAAGAAATGCAGTTTTGGCCTGATGCTACCAAAATTGCAAAAGTTAAGAAAAATGGATTGTATTTCTTTAGACAGAAATGACCTGTTTTGCTGGTTTAAGCTTCTGATAGGCTACTTTCATGTCTAGCCATCTTTCATAGACAGATATCTTAAAATTCCTTAGAATGAGAGCAGTTACCACACATAAGGACTAAGGGACCTTTCTGCAATCGTGGAAATAAATCTTGAAGTCTGTTATGAGCAAGAACTGCAAAGTGCAGCAGTTCCAGTGTACTGATCTGCTCCAGAACTTTTGGGCCCCAGGTGACCAGGAATCAGTTTTTCAAATCTCGTCTTTAGGAAGGAAGTTACGTGAGAGTTCAAAATTTTAACTTTCTGGAGCAGTTTGTGTTCTTGGACGCTGCATCCCAGTTCTGCGTTGTCCGTCTGCACTCAGCTTTTACAGAGGGACGAGAAACACTGGCGTGGGTGAATGCTGGTGCAGTGTCCTTTTCTCCTGAAAATGTCCTGGCATCAGACAGCTGAAGCTACATTTTAAGTGTACTTTTGGAGAACTTTGCTAAACTGAACAGTGTTCAAGTCACACATGAGAGAGCTCTGTAGCAATTTTACAGCAGTTACTTTTGTCAGGTAAGTTTTACCAGGGTACTTTTTGATAGGGACGTGTGGTTCTAATGAAACTTTTGGCAGGGAAGAGCACCGAGATCCAGAATTTATGTAAATATATGAAGACTGATGTAAATGTACCGTCTGCTGTTTTTCGTCAGAGAATTTCAGCAGCGATTCGCTTCTAGGGTCTGTCTAAATCTATGAAGTGTTTATTTGTGGAACGTATCGTGCCTTAAAATGCTTTTTCTTCATGATGAGTACAATCAATTCTCCTTGTTTCCTTTATTTTCTAGGAGTCTGGAGCACCCATTCTTACTGACGATGTCAGCTTGCAAGTATTTATGGATCATCTGAAGAAACTTGCTGTCTCCAGCGCTGCCTGAGCTGCTGCAGTGCAGCAAGGGCACAGATGAGCTGTAGCCTATTTCGGCTTTTTCTCCTCTACCCTTTTCCGTGTCTCTCGTGACAGAAGAGCACTCTGATCTGCGCAAGCTGCCTGACTCGATGTGAAGCAGTGTTGTTTTCAAAGAAAAGCTTTTGTTATCAGCAAATGTTTTAATGTGAACCGCAGTTTGTAAAAATGACAGGTGGTAGATTAAGTTATAATTAGAGAAAAAAGAGCAGTCACTCTGATTACTGTGATACTGTAATTACCTGGAGATCATTTATAACAACTTCGAGATGTGATTTCAGTTTCCTTTTTAAATGGTTGAGGTTGATTCTGCTCTGCACTGCAAGGGCACGTTGAGCAATAAAGGAAATCTTTGGTGACGTCAGGCTTTCCAGACCTCCGTATGAACTACTTTTGCCTACTCAATTTGAGCGTGAAGCGAACAAAGGAGCAACAAAAAGCATGTGAAAATAGTGTGTGCTCCGTCTTTTGGCTTAGGTTGCTGAATTTCTCGTTCCTGCAGAGATACTGTTGTTCGTGTATGTTCATTTTAGGAGTATTTCGTATTTTGATACTTCAGATATTTCTTCCCACTTACGCTACTTGAGTCTTTAGGAACAGAGTTTTTCTTTATTTCCACATTAAAAAAATGAACTGAAAAAGCAAAACAAAAATCTGTTACTGCACAAAATTTAAATCCACAGGTTGCATTTTTGACAAAAGTATCTATTATCAGACACGGTAACAGATGAAGATGCTCAAAAGTTAACACTTTTAGCCTAAGAAGAGATCCTACACTACCAAAAAGAACAGACTAAGAGTACAGCCTTGACTTTTTGTCTTGGCAAGCATACTTTAAAAAAGTATCTATTTTATTATTGCCTTATACTGTTATTACACTAATGCATGGCACTGCTCTTTGTTTCTGCGTCTTTTTTATGAATTCAACAGGCTATAGCTCTTGCTAAAACAGTATTATATAGAACATGACGCAATGAATGTCATGTGTAGTTCATACTTGATTTTGGGGTGGATAAATTAGTAGGCTTTCCCACTTGTTGAAGTTTACACACAAAACATGTTTACAGAGGTGATAGCGACATTTTGACAAGTAAAGATGTGAAATGCAGTAGTGGGCAACAAAAAATGGTGCCAAGTCTAAAGGCTTTGAAGAGAGAGTTTTGACATAGGAAGCTCAATGACAGACTGGTGTGATAAGCATGAGGGGTTTTTCTGTTTTCGGTAAATTCTCAAAAATTGATTAAATTGATTGCTCTCTGTTGCTTTGATCTAAACGAGTTGAGTTTTTGCCTGAGTACAAATAAAATACATGGTTTTCTCTCACTCTGTATTTATTGTGCTGATTGCTGATGGTACTTGAGATGAAATGTGGGAATAAAGGTAATGATAAAATATAGAGTAACTTTGTCAGTTTTATGCTTGTAATAACTGGTATCAAACTTGTGTAACATTCAGAGATACTGAAGTGTTCCCACTAGTAACAGTTTAGGAGGTAAAAATTCCATAGCCCTCTTGACTTTGTTTCAGGTAATAAATGGCTGAAAAATTTCTTTGGAACACTAAAAATGTCCCTTTGCTTGGTCAAAGTGCTGTCCTCCTGCATCTCTTGCAGGAGCTGCTGGCTGTCCTGCAGCAGCAGGGCCCGACGACGGAGGGGATCTTCTGCAGAGCTGTCACCAGGACAGCCTGCCTGAAGCTGAGGGAGGCCCTGGA